GCAACATTTGTGCCATACTGTGCCACTGTGTGCAGTTTTGTATAGACATAAGTTTTCAGCTCAATTGGGTAAATACCTACAACAGTAATTGCTAAATCATGTGGTCAGACTATGTTTAGCTTTTTAGTATGTTGCCAAAATGGCTGAACCATTCTGCATTCCTGCCAACAATGAATGAGACTTCCTGTTGCTCCACATCCTTGCCAACATTTGATGTGTCAGTATTTTGTATTTTAGCCATTCTAATAGGTGTGGTGATATTTTATTCTTGTTTTAATCTGCATTTCCCTAATGACACATGAGATATGGGTGTCTTTTCATATGCTTATTTGCCATCTGTATATATCTTGTCAGATGAGGTGTCTGTTAAAGCCTTTGGCCTGTTTTTAACTGGGTTGGTTGTTTTTCTTATTGCTGAGTTTTAAGAGTTCTTTGTATATTTTGAATGAAAGTCTTTTAAAAATCAAACGTGTTTTGCAAGTACTTTTTTCTGGTTTGTGGCTTGTTTTTTCATTATTTTATCAGTGTCTTTCACAGAACAAAAGGTTTTAATTTTAGTAAGTCAAGTTATTGATTTTTTCTTTCATGAATTGTACTCTTGGTTTTGTATCCAAAAACTCATTGCCAAATCCAAGTTCACACAGATTTTCTCCTGTTATATTCTAGAAGTTTTGTGTTTTACATTTAGGTCTATTAGATTCCATTTTGAGTTAATTCTCATGAAAAGTGTAAGGTGAAAGATTTAGTTTCTACATATGGATGTCCAATTGTTCTAGCATCACTTGTCGAAAAGATGATCCTTTTTTTTCTGTTGAATTGCCTTTGCTCCTTTGTCAAGGATCAACTGACTATATTGGTGTATTTCTATTTCTGGACTCTCTATTCTGTTCCATTGGTCTGTTTGTCTATTCTTTTGCCAATACCATGCTGTCCTAATTACTGTAGCTTTGTCTTAAGTCTAATGTCACGTAGCATCAGTCCTTCAACTTTGTTCTTCTTTATCAGTATTATGTGGACTGTTCTCAGTTGTTTGCCTTTGCATATAAACTTTAGAATAAGTTTGTTGATATCCATAAAATAATTTGCTGGGATTTTAACTGAGATTACATTGAATCTATAGATCAAGTTAGGAGGAACTGACATTTAAACAATATTGAATCTTTCTATCCATGAACATGGAATAGCTCTCAATTTATCTAGATTTCTCTGATCAGAGTCTTGTAATTATATATATAAATTTATATATATCAATATATTTAGATTTATACCTATTTCTTTTTGTGTGTCATAATTTAAATGATATTATGTTTTTAATTTCATATTCCAATTGTTCATTGCTGGTATATAGGAAAGCAACTGACTTTTGTATATTAACCTTGTATCCTGGAACAGTGCTATAACTGCTGGTTAGTTCCAGGAGTTTTCTGCCAGTTCTCTGGGATTTTCTACATAGTCAATCATGTCATCTGTGAACAAAGACAGTTTTAATCCTTCCTTCCTAATATCTATGCCTTTTATTTCCTTTACTGGTCTTATTGAATTAGCTAGATCTTTCAGTATAATGCTGAATAGGAGTAGTAAAAAGGGACATTCTTGCCTTTTCCCAAACTTAGGGGGAAAGCATCTAGTTTCTCATCATCAAGCATGATGTTAGATGTAGATTTTTTGTAGATGTTCTTTATCTTATTGAGCAAGTTTCTTTCCATTCCTATTTTGCTGAGAGTGTTTCCTAAAATCAAGATTGGATGTTGGATTGTATCAAGTGCTTTTCTGCATCTTATAGATATGATACGATTTTTCTTCTTTAGCCTGTTGATGTGATACAATACAGTAATTGATTTTCTAATGTTGAACCAACCTTGCATATCTGGAATAAATCCCACTTCATTTAGGTGTGTGGTTCTTTTTGTACATCACTGGATTCAATATGCTAATATTTTGTTGAGAATTTTTGCATGATGTTCATGAGAGATATTGGTCTGTAGTTGAGAATGTCTTTATCTGGTTTTGGTTTTAGGGTAATGCTGGCTTCACAGAACAAGTTAGAAAGATTCTCTGCTTCTATTTTCTGGAAGAGATTGTAGAGAATTGGTATCATCTTTTCCTTAAATGTCTGATAGAAGTCACCAGTGAAACCATCTGAGCCTGGTTTTCTGGAAGGTTACTAATTATTGATTCAATTTCCTTGGTAGATATAGGCCTCTTCAGATGATCTATTTCCTCTTGTATGTTTTGGTAGTTTGTGTGTTCCAAGGAATTGGTCTATTGCACCTCAGTTATCAAATTTGTGGGCACAGAGTTGCTCATAATATTCCTTTATTACGCTTTTAATATCCATGGGATCAGTAGTGATGATCCTTCTTCCATTTCTGATATTAGTAATCTGTGCCTTCTCTCTTTTTTTCTTGGCTAGCCTGGCTAGAGGTTTACTGCTTTTATTAATATTGCCAAAGAATCAGCTTTTGGTTTTATTGATTTTCTCTACTGATTTCTGCTCTCTGTTTCTTTTTTTTAAATTAATTTATTTATGGCTGCGTTGGGTCTTCGTTGCTGAGGGTGGGGTTTCTCTAGTTGCGGCGAGCAGGGTCTACTCTTCGTTGCAGTATGCGGGTTTCTCATTGCAGTGGCATCTCTTGTTGCAGAGTACCAGCACTAGAGTGCGCAGGCTTCAGTAGTTGCAGCACGTGGGCTCAGTAGTTGTGGCTCATGGGCACTAGAGTGTGGGCTCAGTAGTTGTGGTGCACGGGCTTAGTTGCTCCGTGGCACGTGGGATCTCCCTGGACCAGGGCTTGAACTCGTGTCCCCTGCATTGGCAGGCAGATTCTTAACCACTGCGCCACCAGGGAAGTCCCCCTACTCTTTGTTTCTATGCAGGTCTCCTAAGTCTTATTTCTCTTTCCACTTCTGCTCCTCTCCAACCCATCTACCTTCCCACAGGCAAAATCACCTTCCTACAAGTCAAAACTAATGCTTTTCAACTGCTTAAAATATTTCAATGGCACCTTTTGCCTTCAAGATGAAGCCCAAACTTCTTATTGTTACCTCTAAAGCCCTGCAGGATTTGGTCTGCTCATTCCTCCAGACTTATCATGTCTCATCCTTAGACCTCTTGGAGCTTTGACAGCATAGAAAAGACAGATATTAAGTTTTTACACAAATATCTATTCCAAGTATAGATAATGAAGAACTATTTAAATAGGCCAATAGAATTTACAGGAAACTCTTCAATTGATTCAGATTTTAAAAGACCATGAAGAAAAAAACTAGAGAAAGGGCTGGTAACCAAAAATTAATATAAAATGGATTTTTGAAAATAGTATTTAGAGACCTAGAGATCATAATGAAAGATTGCGGGTTTTTTTGGGGGGGGTTGGGTTTTATTTTTCTGGCTGCGCCACGCGCCATGTAAAATCTTAGTTCCCCGATGAGGAATCGAACCCACGCCCCCTGCAGTGGAAATGCGGACCACCAAGGAAGTCCCGAAAGTTTTCTTTTTTTTTTAATTACAGAAAAGAAGGCACATCCAGATATATTTTTTCATTTTAAAGGTATATAAGGACAATACAGAAAAGGTAAACTCAAAAGGAAAAAAGTACTCACAATCCAAGTGTCCTAACATAACCACTACTACACTCTGTGGTAGTCATTATGCTCTATTCAAATATGGTTATAGTGATAGGCTTGGTGGCTATACCCTGGTTCTCAACCCTGGCATGTTAGAATCACCTGGTGGAACTTTTTAAACATCAAGGTAACTGAGCCTGATTCCTGATCAACTAAATCAGAATCTCTGGGTGGTGAAGTCCTGTGCTGAGAAACACTGTATATAGACATGTCCTATGTACAGGCAGGGGCCTCACCTCAAAGGTGAGTTTATTTTTGGTATCAATCACCTGGGAAAGTGAAGAGTTCCTCAGACAGGATACGGAATCTTTTAGAGCAGTATTAGACTCATATGGGGAGCTTTAAAAATCCCAAAGCCCAGGCTACACCTCAACCCAATGACTTCAGAATCTCTAGGGGGTGGGAGGCAGGCGTCAGTAATTTCTTAAGCTCCCCAGGTGATTCCAGTATTCAGTCAAGGTTAAGAACCACTGTGCTGAGAGCTCCAGGTGGGCTACAAAGTAGGAATTTGGCTTTTGGCATATGGTAGGTGGTCAATAAACAGTTTCCCCACAGGGGAAAGTTCCCCATGCAGCCATAGGGAACTTGACAGGCTGTTCTGGAAATAGTAAGCTATGCCTCAGGGTGTATTTTAGACTGCCCCATGTTTATAGGTCTTTCACAATTGGCTTGGTTTTCACAAGCCTTTGGGGGTTAAAAGTTGTTAGTTTTGGCTCCTATATCCTTGTCTTCACAAGGAATTCCTTATGAAATGAGACTGAGCATTAACGCCTCCATGCTCTTGCCCACATGGCAACCATAAAACATCATACTGTGGCAGCAGACAGGAGCTTTCCCAGCACACGGAGCACCCACCTACACCCAGCTGAAACAGATGACACCACCATTTAATTAAATCAGCTTCCAGAAGGCTGACATCAGCTCAGGAAAAACACACCTGGACACCAGGATCTGGCACCTTCAAGACTCCAGATGGTTCCTGTCTCTGCTGGACTAATGGGCACATTCCCCAGCTCCGGTGTCATGTTCCTCATAACCAAGACTGAGATTTCCTTAGGATTTTGTCTGAATGCTCTGCCTCCAGATACAGGCAGGGCTAACTCCCTCTCTTCCACTGAGTCTTTGCTCAAATCTACCTTTCATTGAGGCTTGCCCTGACCGTCCCATTTAAACTTGCAATCTCTTCTCCAGCATTCCCTTGTCCTGCTCTATTTTCTTTCATAGCACTCATCACCTTCCAAGACACTGAAAACGTTACTTGTTTATCACACTTTTTGTTTACTGACCACCTTGTTCACTGGTATATCCTCAGAGCATAGCACATGATACACAGGAGCTGCTCAAGGAAGCTGTTGAATGAATGAGGAAGCACTTACCTCGATGTCTGGGCAGCAGACTGTAGCCCTGAGCCTTTCCCTAGGACCCTCCGCTTTGAACAGTAGACTCCTTTTTGGGAAGCCAGAGCCTCTCCAGGGACCAGACTTGAACCCTCTGGAGGCATCATCCAATTGGGCTGCAGCTGACTGCACTGAGCAGCCTGAGTGCCTACCCCCCAGGGAACACAAGGTTAATTCTCGGACAACTTTGAGGCCAACACGCCAGCCTCACATCCTGGTTATTCACTCCCTCAATGACATCCTCATCGGTTTTCTCATGCTCAAGTCACTGCTGTCTCCTTCTTCTTCATGGTTCAATCTCCCACTTCTCTCCCACCTCACCATATTCTAACTTTCCACTGTCTTCCACGAAGCCTCGACTTCTTCAGTGAATGTTCCTTCCATCTTCTAATTTCATAGAAACCTGGGTCTTCACTGAAAACACCATTTCCTCTACAGCCCTATGTGATGGAGGCTGCTCTTTCTTCTATACCCCATGCATCTGAAGGTCCCTCATATCCTCTTTGTACTCCATTTATGCTTCCGAGTCACCAGTATGTCACCTTCCTTAAAAAAAAGAAAACCTGTTCATTGCTCATGCTATCCAGAAATACTACCTCCTACCCTCCCTTGCTGTTCTCATTTACTCTCTCCCCCTTCACGAAGACTTCAGCTCACAAGACATCCTTTCCAATCAAGCTTACAAGGCTGTTCATATGGCTTAAAATTTTCACGGTTTTATCCCAATTACAAAGCACATAGTTGGTACTCACGAAATATTTGCTAAATGAATGAGTTGAAGAAATGAAATCTGGGGCAAGAAGCAGGAGGCAAGCTGAGGTTAAGGTTTGATTTTGGGGCTATAGCCTTCCCAGTTTACCAGACACCAATAAGGGTAAATGGATAGGTTGAATCTCATACTTGGGCAATTATTATGATCCCACTTTATAGTAAGAAACTGAGGAATAACAGTTAAATAACTCGCTCAAGATTATAGTTAGTAAGAGGTGGAACTGGGCTTTAAAAATCAACGTCTGACTCCACAGCCCACATTTTTTTAAAATAAATTTATTTATTTTATTTTTCTTTTTGGCTGTGTTGGGTCTTTGTTGTTGTGCACAGAAGCAATGCTTCTCTAGATGTGGCGAGTGGGGGCTACTCTTCATTGTGGTGCACGTTGCAGTGGCTTCTATTGTTGCGATGCACAGGCTCTAGGCACGCGGGCTTCACTAGTTGTGGCACGTGGACTCAGGAGCTGTGGCTCGCGGGCTGTAGAGCACAGACTCAGTAGTTGTGGCGCAGGGGCTTAGTGGCCCTGCGCCATGTGGGAATCTTCCAGGACCAGGGCTCAAACCCGTGTCCCCTGCATTGGCAGGCAGATTCTTAACCGCTGCGCCACCAGGGAAGCACAGCACAGCCCACATTTTTAACCTCCAAAAAATATTGCCCTCCTGAACAACAGAGTTTGCAGTTAAAAGACAAGGTTTTGTACAGCTCATTGCATATAAGTATTTTAAATAATCTTCACAGCACTGACAAGTGATTCTGTCATGAAGACACAAGTAGCAGGGAATTCTCAAAGGAAGTAGAAGCCATTTATTCCACAAAGACATAATTAAAAGAATATAATGAAGACCAAAAAAAATCCAAGACATCTATTTCCAGGTTTTTGGAGTATCATTGGATATAGAGATATTTTAAGTGTATTTCTATAAACAGTTGACCCTTGAACAACAACATGATTAGGGGCACTGACTCTGCATGCAGTCAAAAATCCACATATAACTTATAGTCAGCCCTCCATATATGCAGTTCCTCCATAACCATGATTCTGCATGCTCAGATGCAACCAATCACAGATCATGTAGTACTGTAGTATGTACTGTTGAAAAAAATCCACATATAAGTGGATGCACTGCAGTTTAAATGTTCAAGGGTCAACTGTAATAGGTTCTTAAGAATAGAAAACACCTGGGGCGGGGAGGCCATTCCCATGCAGATATGTCTGCTGCATTCTCAGTGAAGGGCCAGCTAAGTATGATTTGTGAGGCAAATCTGACTCATTATCTGTTTTGTGTATGGTCGCTGAGTTAAGAATGTCTTTTACATTTTAATGGTTGGTTTAAAAATTAGAAGCATAATATTTAATGACATAAAAATTATATGAAATTAAAATTTCAGTGTCCATAGACAAAGTTTTGTTGGAATATAGCTACAGCCTTACTCATTTGTCTATGTGTTCTCTATGGCTGCTTTCATGCTACAGCAGCAGAGATGAGTAGTTGTGACAGAGACAACAAAGGCCCCCAAACTCAGAAATATTGACCAGTTGACTCTTTACAAAAAGAGCTGGCCAACCTTGTTATAGGTCATTTCTTCTGACTTAACTTCCAGTGCACTGAATCTGTCCTCAGTTGTATCTAATCTGTTACTAAATCCTTCTACTGAATTTTTAATTTTGGTCACTGTATTTTTCAATTCTATAAGTTTTGTTTTTCCAATCTAATGTTTTCCTTTTTATAGTTCCCTATTACATGTGTATAGTTCAATATTATCTTTATCTCCTTAAATAAAGTATATCTAATTGCTTTATTTTTTTGAATATTTGAACTTTATTTATTTTTTTATACAGCAGGTTCTTATTAAATATCCATTTTATACATATTAGTGTATATATGTCAATCCCAATCTCACAATTCATCACACCACCACCAGCCACCCACACCACTTTCCCCCTTGGTGTCCATATGTTTGTTCTCCACATCTGTGTCTCAATTTCTGCCCTGCAAACTGGTTCAGCTGTACCATTCTCCTAGGTTCCACATATATGCGTTAATATATGATATTGTTTTTCTCTTTCTGACTTAATTCACTCTGTATGACAGTCTGTAGATCCATCCACGTCTCTACAAATGACCCAGTTTCGTTCCTTTTTATGGCTGAGTAATATTCCACTGTATGTATGTACCACATCTTCTTTATCCATTTGTCTGTCAATGGGCATTTAGGTTGCTTCCACGAACTGGCTATTGTAAATAGTGCTGCAATGAACATTTTGGTACATGTGTCTTTTTGAATTATGGTTCTCTCTGGGTATATGCCCAGTAGTGGGATTACTGGGTCGTATGGTAGTTCTATTTTTAGGTTTTAAGGAACCTCCATACTGTTCTCCATGGTGGCTGTATCAATTTACAATCCCACCAACAGTGCAAGAGGGTTCCCTTTTCTCCACACCCTCCCCGGCATTTGTCGTTTGTATATTTTCTGATGATGCCCATTCTAACTGGTGTGAGGTGATGCATCACTGTAGTTTTGATTTGCATTTCTCTAATAATTAGTGATGTTCAGAAGCTTTTCATGTGCTCTTGGCCATCTTTATGTCTTCTTTGGAGCAATGTCTATTTAGGTCTTCCACCTATTTTTTGATTAGGTTGTTTGTCTTTTTAATATTGAGCTGCATGAGCTGTTAATATATTTTGGAGATTAATTCTTTGTCCGTTGATTCATTAGCAAATAACTTCTCCCAGTCTGAGGGCTGTCTTTTCGTCTTGTTTGTAGTTTCCTTTGCTTTGCAAAAGCTTTGAAGTTTCATTAGGTCCCATTTGTTTATTTTTGTTTTTATTTCCATTACTCTAGGAGGTGGATCAAAAAAGATCTTGCTGTGATTTATGTCAAAGAGTGTTCTTTCTATGTTTTCCTCTAAGAGTTTTATAGTGTCCGGTCTTACATTTAGGTCTCTAATCCATTTTGAGTTTATTTTTGTGTATGGTGTTAGGGAGTGTTCTAATTTCATTCGTTTACATGTAGCTGTCCAGTTTTCCCAGCACCACTTATTGAAGAGACTGTCTTTTCTCCATTGTATATCCTTGCCTCCATTGTCATAGATTAGTTGACCATAGGTGTGTGGGTTTATCTCTGGGCTTTCTATCCTGTTCCAGTGATCTATATTTCTGTTTTTGTGCCAGTACCATATTGTCTTGATTACTTAGCTTTGTAGTATAGTCTGAAGTCAGGGAGTCTGATTCCTCCAGCTCTGCTTTTTTCCCTCAAGACTGCTCTGGCTATTCGGGGTCTTTTGGGTCTCCATACAAATTTTAAGACATTTTGTTCTAGTTCTGTAAAAAATGCCATTGGTAATTTGATAGGGATTGCATTGAATCTGTAGATTGCTTTGGGTAGTAGAGTCATTTTCACAATATTGATTCTTGCAATCCAAGAACATGGTATATCTCTCCATCTGTTGGTATCATCTTTAATTTCTTTCATCAGTGTCTTATAGTTTTCTGCATACAGCTCTTTTGTCTCCCTAGGTAGGTTTATTCTTAGGTATTTTATTCTTTTTGTTGCAGTGGTAAATGGGAGTGTTTCCTTAATTGCTCTTTCAGATTTTTCATCATTAGTGTATAGGAATGCAAGAGATTTCTGTGCATTAATTTTGCATCTGGAAACTTTACCAAATTCATTGATTAGCTCTAGTAGTTTTCTGGTGGCACCTTTAGGATTCTCTACGTATAGTATCATGTCACCTGCAAACAGTGACAGTTTTACTTCTTCTTTTCCTATTTGGATTCTCTTTATTTCTTTTTCTTCTCTGATTGCCGTGGCTAGGACTTCCACAACTATGTTGAATAATAGCAGCAAGAGTGGACATCCTTGTCTTGTTCCTGATCTTAGAGGAAATGCTTTCAGTTTTTCACCACTGAGAATGATGTTTGCTGTGGGTTTGTCTGTTGTATATGGCCTTTATTATGTTGAGGTAGGTTCCCTCTATGCTCACTTTCCAGAGAGTTTTTATAATAAATGGGTGTTGAATTTTGTCAAAAGCTTCTTCTGCATCTATCGAGATGATCATATGCTTTTTATTCTTCAATTTGTTAATATGGTGTATCACATTGATTGATTTGCGTATATTGGAGAATCCTTGCATCCCTAGGATAAATACCACTTGATCATGGTGTATGATCCTTGCAATGTGTTGTTGGATTCTGTTTGCTAGTATTTTGTTGAGGATTTTTGCGTCTATGTTCATCAGTGATATTGGTCTGTAATTTTCTTTTTTTGTAGTATCTTTTTCTGGTTTTGGTATCAGGTGATGGTGGCCTCATAGAATGAGTTTGGAAGTGTTCCTTCCATGCAATTTTTTGGAAGAGTTTGAGAAGGATGGGTGTT